AGCTCTATCAGACCACGTAAGTACCAAAAAGGAACACAGTATGTGGATAAATATTTTAAGTACCTATAAATCACATTTGGCTAGGTATGCAAATATTTTGGTTATAGTTCGTTGCATATGTCGTAAAACGAAAGAAGTGTTCAATATACTGAATTCCATTGATACCAATATTTAATTTCCCAGCTAAGCGCACAAACCCAGTATAATTGGATACCAAGAATAAGGGCTTACTTTTATTGGTTTGACCAGGTTGGGGGAGCACCACCACAAATTAAAACTTAGGATGCTACAATTTACAGTGTAGAAATGCACGTGGAATATACATAGAAAAACATTAAAAAAAATAAAACGGGTTGCTTAAGAGAGCATCTTGCGAATCATGTAGTTGAGGATGCCACCATTCTTGTAGTAGGTGATGTCCACCTCGGTGTCGAAGCGCAGAATAGTCTCAAAGACGGTGCCATCAGCCTTGAAGAAAGATAGTTCATTATAATACCATGGATTAGTAATGCAGCAGCTTCAATAGCCTACCTCCACCTGGATCTTCTGACCCGGCTTCAAGCCGCTCTCAGGCAGGGCTATGTTGTACACCTCCCGACCAGTCAGGTTCAGGGTCTCGGCACTCTGGCCCGGCAAGAACTGCAGGGGAATAATGCCCATGCCCACCAGGTTGGAACGATGGATGCGCTCGTAGGACTCGGCGATCACCGCCTTTACGCCCAGCAGGAAGGGTCCCTTGGCAGCCCAATCCCGGGAGCTTCCGCTGCCGTAGTCCTTGCCCACGACGAGGACCAGAGGCGTACCCTCCTCGCGGTACCGCTCGGCGGCATCGAAGATGTCCAGCTCCTCCTGGCTGGGAATGTGCACGGTGCGGGGTCCAGTCTTCGCGACCAGTTTGTTGACCAACCGAATGTTGGCAAAGGTGCCGCGGGACATAATGGCATCGTTGCCACGACGCGATCCATACGAGTTGAAGTCACGGGGTGTAATGTTCCTCTCGGACAGGAATCGGGCAGCAGGCGAGGTCCTGGCAATGGATCCAGCCGGCGAGATGTGATCCGTGGTCACGGAATCGCCCAGGAAGAGCAGGCAACGTGCCTTCTGGATGCTCTGCAGCTTGGGAAGATCTCGAGTCATGCCCTCGAAGAAGGGTGGTCGCTTAATGTAGGTGGAATCGGCACTCCACGAGAAGAGCTTGCCCTCGGACACCTGCAGAGTCTGCCAGTCCTGGGAACCCAGCTCGATTTTGCCTGCAGATGGAAGTAGCATTAAGCCAAACTCAAATAAGGATGGCACACGAAGTACTCACTGTACACCTCCTGGAACATGGCGGGGATGACATGCTTGTTCTCCACCTCCTGGATCTCCGATCGCGTTGGCCAGATGTCCTGCAAGAACACATTCTTGCCATTGGCATCCACTCCCAGCGGTTCCTTCTCGAAGTCGATGTCCACACGTCCTGCGATGGCGTATGCGATCACCAGCAGAGGACTTGCCAGATAGTTGGCCCTGGTGTTGGGATGGATGCGACCCTCGAAGTTGCGATTTCCGGACAAAACGCCAGCGCACACGAGGCCATTCTTCTCGATGGTGTTCACCACATTCTCCTCGAGGGGACCGGAGTTGCCAATGCAGGTCATGCAGCCATAGCCCACAATATCGAAGCCCAACTTCTCCAGATAGGGAATGACTCCGGACTCTTTCAGGTAGTAGGTAACCACACCGGATCCAGGCGACAGCGAGGTCTTGATGTAGGGCAGAATGTTCAGGCCCTTCTCCACGGCCTTTTTGGCCAGCAGACCGGCACCCAGCATCACCGAGGGATTCGATGTGTTTGTGCAGGATGTGATGGCCGCAATGACAACAGATCCATGCTGCAGCTTGTAGGTCTTGCCATCATCCCACTGGAACTCTCCAAATGCGGATTGAGCTTCCGGAGCAATGGCGAATCCCTTGAAGCCCACCTGAGGTAACAATGAAGAAGCCCATGTTTAATTGATTTAATCATTTGCTTTTCAACGAATTGAAAACTTACTGGGCTGGACAGGCACGACTTGAAGTCCTCAGGCATGTCTGAGACAGAAACGCGGTCGTGGGGACGCTTGGGTCCTGAAACGGAGGTGACCACCGTCGACAGATCCAAGGTGATGCTCTACAGACGGGATGTGTGTTAATTTAAGTTTAGACTGGGGTATGTATGGCTATGTCAACCTGAGTAAACTTGGGATCTTGGGCCGCATCAGCATAGTTGCGCAACTGCTGGGTTGCCTTCAGATACTGACGAATGATGTCGATCTTCTTTTCAGAGCGATCTAAAATATGTGTTGAAATATGAATCAAATATGGTTGTATGCAACAGAGTGCTTTCCCGTACTTGTCTGCTTCATGTAACCGAGGGTATTCTCATCGATGGGGAAATATCCCACGGTGGCTCCGTATTCGGGGCACATGTTGCTGATGGTGGCCCTGTCGGCAATGCTGAGTTCCGCCACTCCCGGCCCGTAGAACTCCACGAACTTGCCCACCACACCCAACTGGCGCAGGTGCTTGGTGATGGTCAGTACCAGATCGGTGGATGTGACCAGTGGGCTCAGTTTGCCCTCCAACTTGTAGCCAATTACCTCGGGCAACAACATGGAAATGGATTGTCCCAACATCACAGCTTCCGCCTCGATGCCGCCCACTCCCCAACCCAGTACTCCCAGTCCATTGATCATCGTGGTATGGGAATCAGTGCCCACTACACTGTCGGGATACAGAATCTTGGAGCCATCGGTGGCGTCGTTCTCAAACACCACGCGGGCCAAGTACTCCAGATTCACCTGGTGGACAATTCCGGAGCCAGGTGGCACGATCAGCATGTTGTTAAAGGCCTTGGCTCCCCACTAAGTTGTAAAATGAATATTATTTATAATTCTAATGGGATAAAAAGTTAAGAAAACCTACCTTCAGGAAGGTGAAGCGCTCCTTGTTGCGCTCAAACTCCAGCGACTGGTTCTTGGCCAGGGCATCGGGAGTACGGGCAAAGTCCACCTGGACGGAGTGATCAATGACCAAGTCGGCGGGGCAGATGGGATTGATCTTCTCGGGATCGCCGCCCAAATCCAAAACAGCATCTCGCATAGCTGCAAAGTCCACCACAGCAGGAACTCCGGTAAAGTCCTAGTAGCAAAATATTAACATATGTGGTTTAAAATCAATTTAAAAATCTAGATGGCCGTATGAAACTCACCTGCAGGATGACACGGGCTGGCTTGAAGGACACCTCCACATCGTTGGATCCCTGCTTGAGGGCAGGCGACCATCCCAGGATGCTCTGCACGTCCTTCTCTAGGATGTGGAAGTTATCGCAATTGCGCACCGCCGACTCCAAGAGCACTCGGATCGAGTAGGGCAGTTGATCTACGAGTGGAATGTGTTAAGTGTTAATCAAAATGTTTAGAACCGAATTTCATCACGGGCACAGTAAAGCGTCGTTAAGCGAACACCTAAGGAAATTTTATCTTTAAAATTGTGAATTACTTAAAGCAGCACTTGTTGAAGTAGAATTCAGGAGTAAAGTAATAAAAGTACCTCGCTTTTGCTACCCTATACACGCAGAACTCCATTCATTTGAAACCATGACAATTGTGCACCTTAGGAAGTTCGAATTGTGCTAGTCAGATAGCAGTCACTTCTTATCACAGGCACAGTGATTACGTTTGTCCAGCACTTGATGCGATTCACAGGCGTCACTATATGCTGGAGCCACCTTGGAAGGCCCTCACCTCAGAGCCCCGATTTCTGGACACGCGCTGCTTCTGTGAAAACATTCCACTGGTCGAGAGACATCGCGGAGCAATCGGACCACGACCCCAAATCAGCAGATCTGTGTGGTTTCAATCCGCTGATAAGTGAGCCCGTAAAATTGGGAAATAGGAAAGAGACTGGAAATCAAATTGTGGAGGCACACGATACGTTATCACCGCCAGACGAGCCCCATTATGAGGCAATCAATCTGGTGGTGGTGATAACTTTCGCTTTCGGCGCGAGTCAAGCCTGCCCACGGAAAACTATGGAAGAGCCACTTTATGCTCCGGGAGCACCTTCCACTTGACATCGCCTGACTTGCAAATTGAGGTGTTCGCCGCAGAGACCGCTTGCCGATCGCTACTTTTTCAATTCAGGGGTCAAATTCCAACTTCAACAGGTGCTTTTGGGGAGCTTAATTAATACCATTTGGCCCAGTTTATGGTGACCACGTAGACAGACACGCCCACTTTATAAGCCATCTAAAGACCTATCCACTTACCATACTTGCTGTCGATGGAGGCGAGGTCAAAGTACTTGTATGTTGTGCCGGCCTGGGAGAAAGTTTTCTCGAACTGAGCGAAGGGATTGGCGCCTGCGACGATACGAAGCTGTTATATAAGCCACAGGATTCGGGGGACAGGGTATGTGATAGTCGAAGGAATGGAAAACTCCGGACTGGCAACCCACCTGACATCTTATTGGAACACTTTACTGAACTTATTCCGGACGAGCAAAGCAAGAAACTGATTGGGGAAGCGATTCGGCTTGGAGCTGGCAAGCCTGCGGTGTATATCGATAGCCACGATGGTAGCGTATATCGCCAGTCGGATCGGCAGTGCATTATTACCCGCGCACTCTTATTTTGAAATTCGGTTTATGTCCCCTTAGATGTATTTTAAAACTATTCTCCTCCTAACACGATGGAGATGGAGAGCGTTTTACGATGGCATATTATTATCATTTGTGTTTAATTTCGGAAATAACTATTCGACTAAGCTAATGCTTTGCATTTTTTTTTAAGCTATATCGCGATCTTGGGCCAAACGGAGGTATCAGCCAGAAAGTTGGGCAGTCATCAGAATATTAAAGGACCAAATTAATTGGATGTCACATTATATATGATTAAATTTAAAATAGTGACTTCGCCCGCCAAATTAATCAGTAGTCCACAGAAAATGTGCAATCGCAGCAATCATAATATCGATATGTCGAGGTATCGACTGGTATCGACATCGAAAAGACGAGGCGATAGCACGCGCACGTTGTTTTCTTTGAATATTAGGAAAATATATTATTAGTTTACCAGCGAAAATGGACGTGGAAAAGGACAAGCTTCGCCAGATGCACTGCGAGTTCAATCCCTTGTCTCGTTGTGACGGATCCGTGATGTACAGCCAGGGTATATCCATGTTTCCTCAACTCTAATACCTGGCCAAAACCGGCTAACATGGTTTTTGCTAATTGCAGGTGCCACAGGTCTCATAGGCGCGGTTCTCGGCCCCATCGAGGTGAAGACCCAAAACCTGAGCATAGATGGCAGCTACCTGGAGTGCAACTACCGACCGAAAGCGGGCCTGCCCCAGGTTAAGGATCGCATTCGGGAGGCGGCCATTCGAGATGTTCTGGAACTGGCCCTGCTGGCGGAGGCTCATCCGCGTTCAAAGATGTCCGTGCAGATCCAGGAGCTGGAGGATCGTGGCAGTGTAGGATTTGGAATCTTCTTAACTGTAATCCTTCTAACAATATGTATATACCATCAGATTGATGCTTGTGCCCTGAATTGCGCCTGCCTAGCCATGCTAATTGGAGGCCTGCCCATGAAGTACAGCTTTGCGGCCGTCCACTGCATCATCAACGAGCAGGGCGAGTATGTGCTAGATCCAGACCAAAGTGAAACACTCCACCAGCGCGCCAGCTTCACATTCGTCCTTGATTCCGTGGAAGGGAACCTGCTGCTGGTCCAGACCAAGGGCGCCTTCAAAATAGCCCAGTTCAACGACATCGAGTGCCTATGCCGGGCTGCCAGTGCCGAGATCTTTCAGTTCTATCGCAGCCAGGTGGCAAAGTATCACGGCAGGAGTGAGGCGACGGCTGAGAAGGCGGTCATGGAGACGTGATGGGATGCGATTAAAACAACTGCAACTAGGTACGATTAAAGTTCATCTTATTGTATTAACTGTCTGCTGTGAAAGTCGCTAATGGTGCTCAGCCCGAGGGGCGTGCCCTTAAGGACCTGGGAGTTCGATTCCTCTATGCGGACGGCCAAAAAGTCACCCGCTCCAAAGGATCTTCTGGCTGTGGGATCTCCACATATGGGTACATCTATTGCAGGAACTATGACCTTGATGTTGGCATCATTCCGACCGAACCAATGAGCATCGGACCTCTTGCTTTTCCCTTCTACAAGGATGAGCTGCTCCTGGCCTTCCATTTGGCGGTGTAGCTGTGTAGCGCCCTCTCGGAAAACCTGAACCATGCGCTGCAGTCGCTCATTCTTCACGTTCAAGGGCACATCATCCTTGTAGCGCCGATGGGCAGTGGTCTTTTCCCGCATGCTGTAGGCGAACAAGTAGGCCACGTTGTACTGCACTTGCTGGATGAGAGATACCGTGTCCTGGAACTCCTCTTCCGTTTCGCCGCAAAAGCCGCAGATAAAATCGCTAGACAGTCCCACATTGGGCAGAAACTGTCTGATGTGCTGCACAAGTTCCAGATAAGCTTCTCGGCTGTAACCACGTCGCATCCTATCCAGGACTTGCGTGTTGCCCGATTGTGCTGGCAGGTGAAGTTGCTTGCACACATTCGGGTGATCTCTGATGACCTCCAGAACTTCGTCGGAGAAATCCTTCGGATGCGGCGACGTGAAGCGAACGCGCATCTCTGGAACAGCTTGAGCCACGGCCCTGAGCAATGCGGCAAAGGGAGTGCCGCCTGTTTTGGGCTTGTAAACGGTGCTAAAGCCGGGCACTGGGGTGCCCTCCCCCGCGGACAGGGCCTCCTGTTGCTCCTGCGCACTTCTGTCTCTGTACGAGTTGACATTCTGACCCAGCAGCGTGACCTCCTTAACGCCCTGTTCCGCCAAAGCCTTGACCTCAGCCACAATGGAGTGCAGTGGGCGAGAGCGCTCGCGTCCGCGGGTAAAGGGAACTATACAATAGGTGCACATGTTGTCACATCCGCGCATGATGGACACAAAAGCTGTGGGAGACTCGGAGTTCAAGCGCACGGGCATCACGTCCGCATAGGTCTCGTCCAGCGAGAGGAGCACATTGATGGCCGAGTTGCCATAGTGCCGGGAGATGGCCAGGAGTCGCGGCAAATCCTTGTAGCTATCGGGTCCGGCGATCACATCCACACATTGCTCCTGCTCCAGCAGCTTCTCCTTCAGTCGCTCCGCCATGCAGCCCAGCAGTGTCAACTGGAGAGGATGCCTGCGCGTGCTGCGCTTGTTCTTCATGGCTCGCAGGTGCTTCAATCGATTCCAGATCCTCTGCTCCGCTCCATCGCGCACGGCGCACGTGACGAGCATGATGACATCCGCCTCCTCGGGCTCCTGGCATCGCAAATAGCCACTTTCCTTCAGGATGCTGAACACCACTTCCGTGTCATTGGTGTTCATCTGGCATCCGTAGACCTCGAAGTGCACCCTCCTGCCGTTTCCATTGAAATCAATCGCGTTCAGGTACGGCACACTGGTGTCCACATGCTCCTCTTCATCAGTTTTCCGCCTGGACGCGGGCTTGACTGCAAAGAAGTCTTGGAAGCCCGGTCCGCGTTGAATCCTCTCCAGAAATGTGGCACGTGCAGCCGGCTCTGGTTTCACTTCACCCGCTGCCCTGGAGGACACCGATGTGGTTGCTCCCTTCGCGGCGGTGGTGGAGGCATGCCGCACTTGGCGAACAAATGCCCGGTAGCTCCTTTTCATGGCAGTTTTTTATGTAATTTTTATGTTCGTGTTCAAAGAAGTGGTATTTTAAATGTGGTATTACAAGTGGTATTTCTGTAGGGCTGGAGCGCATTGTTTAGCCGAAACAGCTGAGAGGGAGATTTCCATTCGCCACCTAGCGGACTATAAAGGGACCTTCTAGTTCAAATGCAATCCGCTGTTTTTGTTTTTTTTAATGTTAGTTTTAAATTATTCCGCTAGTCTCGGCTAAGTCCGTTAAATTTAAATGTATAGATTTCGCGTTTTCTAAAACTAATTCTTGGATTGATGATACTAATTATGAGTTGATTGAGTGTGTAAAAACACAGTATGTGATGTAGAAGGAAAATATGCAACCTTAAACTTATTATGAAAATCATCATGTCGCACAAAACAAGCCATTATTAATTCCAACTTGAAGACTCTTCATGCCAGGCAGGGAATGCACTTGGCTTCCGTCGCAGATAAACACTCAAAGGGGTTGGTCCAGCCGCACATTTGAGGACAGGTTGGCCAAAGTCGGCTCGGCCGTAAGAAATTAGCTCGGCCTCATTATGAGCTTATCGTGGTCGGGTTAATAATGCACAGGTGAAGACAATGCAATCGCACGGCCAACAAATGCAACGCCTCCGTCTGCTTGTGATTTCGATTCCGTCTGTGCCTACAATTTGCAGCTTTTGTGGGTCAATAACTGAGTAATTGCATTGCCAACGAGTGTGGGCCATAAATATAGCCAAATTCGTCGGTTGCATTGCTCGCAAGCAAATTCCATCGCTTTAAATTACTTTGCGATATGTATAATTTTACAAAATCTTAACATTTTAGCTGTATAACTTTGTGAATGTGGCTTATTCCAAACCGAATTCGTAAAACCCTTTGGGGCTCTCCATTTCTCCAGTGCGTAAGTATCCCTTTTTCGATCCTCAACTTAGGAAGGAAATCGTAAGTGGGAGCAGCCTAGCACACATATTTCGTAAACACTTACAAGCAGAAATATTTTAATGAAACTGAAATGAAAATTCCACTTTCGGCCAAAAGAATTTCGTAATTACAGCGAAAAAATTCGGTAATTAAATTCATGAAGTTTCCGGCTCGAAGGCGGCGAGTCCGGAGGGAGCCACTTGGAGCTCGCATCCTTGTAAGTGGACTGCCACTGGCTAAAGGCCTTATGCTTTCCGCGTTCTGTTGGTTAAGCATTTTCTTGTATTTTGTCGGCACTTTTCCGCTAAAGTTATTTTCCCATGAGCTTTCCCTCTAGTCGGCTGCTATAAATCTTGCAGCTCGGGTTTTGTTGGGGATGGAGTTGGAAGAACTATGTGCGGAGTGGGTTTCCTACTGGCTTGTGCATACGCCGAGCAGCTTAAGCTCAGCGCTAGTTGGGCAGAAGTAGTGTATATCTCGGGCAGCTGTCAATAAATAATAAATAATTCAATTGTACTAATGCCTTTCATATTTAGTGGTAGCAATTAATCCGACAATTCGACTGCGAAACACGCTCTTCTTTGCAGGAGCTCTCAAAACGGATGCAGTAAGTTCTTTATGGGAGCAGGCAACGGAAGTTGTAACTTGAGAAACAAACTCGTATTTCAGAGATTAAACATACACATATTTATATCAATTGGTGTACGAAAAACATTTTGGCCACGCCCAAAGCCGCCCAAACTGGAGTACGCAGCCCAAGGTCAGATCCCGCCAGATCCCAGCACAGCTCCTCCACGATCTGAGTAAGGGGTATTTGATAGTCGGGGAGCTCGACTCTCTTGTTTTTTTTTAATTTTATTATATTTCTTGAAATTTCTCTAGATTTGTCAACAAGATTGCCCAACTTTCTTGTTCGCACTGGCACTGGCTGAGTAACGGGGTATCTGATAGTCGGGGAACTCGCCAATAGCGTTCTCTCTTATTTTCCTATCAGAAATCGCAAACAAAGTTCAACTTTACTTTTGATCTTCCCCACGAACCATACGCCAATACAAATTCGAATGTGATTTTAAATCCCCATGAGCCTCGCCTCCAAAAGACCTTCGTCAACATGGAACCCCTGGTGAAAGACCCACCCTTCGGCGGAAGACCCACTGAGGACCCACCAAACCCACCAACGACACTTTGAGGCCCCATAACGCGGGCACACGCATAATGATCCTTTGAATGGCTCAATGCGCGGAACCGCTCCAGCCGGAAAAGTTTACTTACTGCTTACGGATTTCTATTTTTCGGAAAACCATTTTCCCACCCACCGGGCGTCAGCCCTTGGGGGCGCGTTTCACGTTGCAAGAGGAGTGGCATGGGGAGGGGAGGGGGCGGTGTTAACGGCTCTGCGGAGAGCAATTTTCCCCACGCAGAGACAACAAAATACGGAAAAGAGCAGAGACAAAGGAAGGCAAGCCAATGTAAATAGAAAATGGTTCGTTGTCGTCGTCTTGGCTGTCGTTAAATTGAAATTGTCGCGGAAATAAAAATTTGCATATTTCAGCATTGATTTCCCCTTGTACCCCGGGGATGCATGTCGTATACGCACCGCTGTAGTGCACTCAATAAATTGTGTTGGCTTTAACTTACTTTGAAATTGATTTAATCTGATATCAGGGGTGTACTTCTTATTTGCTTGTTCAGCTCCAAATTGTTATGTAATTAATTACGTTTAATACCTAATTTAACTAATCTGGTCCTAAAAACGTAAGGTTTAGCTGTATTTTCTGTTTCAAAAACGCTTTTCAAGGCAACCGCCGCCGTATACGCAATGTGTGAATGCACTCAGCACATTGCAGTACAAAGCTGGCGAAAAATTCGCAAATTAATTTCGGGCTAGTGCATAAACTAAACAAAATCCAATGACCAAACAGTGAAAGGGGGTGGGGGTCTCGATGTCCTGGCTTTCTCATTACAGACTGCCAGTTCCAGTTGCTGTCCCCAGTAAATCCTGACGCTGTCACAATAAAATCCACTCAAGCTAAACATACGTCAGCAGTGACGAGAGCCCTCCTTCTGGCCCCGCCCTTCGGTCCTGCCTGCTCCACGAGCAGCATGCTCCAAGCTCCAAGCTCCAAACTCCAAGCAGCAGGTTCCAAGCACCAGGCTCCGAGTGCTGGCCAAGTCCGAGTGCTGGCCAAGTCGCACAAATTTATGCCCCAGAAAAAAGGCAATCTCCTCCTCTTTGGCTTTGGCTTTGGCTTGGGCGCTGGCAGTGACTCCGAGGCG